AAAACTTAAAGTCAGAGAAATTTAAAAAAAATAGGATTTGTGGATATTTCAGAGAAAATATCTGTATCAATGTTTTCAATTGTGATAATTTAGTTATGTAGGGATGCTCCTTTTTCCAAATAATGGCCATTATTTAAAAATAACTAATTTAATTACAACAATAAATTAACTAATTCAGTAGTCGGCTTACGCATTCTCTAATACAGATTATGTGAATTCTTTTATCTTGTTCTTTTTCTATGTCTTCATCTCATTTATGGTTTAATATTTTAGGACATACTGGTAGGTGACAGTCAGATTGTTGTTGTTGGAGGAACTGAGAACATGAGTCAGGTTCCCTATGCTGTCAGGAACATTCGATTTGGAACAAGACTCGGTGAAGAACTCAAAGTAAGAAGGAATATTAAACCCAAAATAATTTTTAGTCTTGTTATTGAATTTTTCTGCTTGTGTTTCAGAGGAGTCAAATTCTGTTTTAGGGATCTGCTAAAAATATGTGTAAATCCATCTTTCCTGTTTAGTTTATTCTATTTCTTCCATGTAGGAAAAATAGAATTTCTAGATAAATTATTTATTTATTGTTGACCACTTTTAAGTAATAATTTTAAGAAATCAAAGTTTGAATACCCTGTTTATGCCCTGTTAAATAATTTTTTTTTTTAAAAGTGGTCTTATCTTTGCAAACTTTTCTAGCCTTAGGGGAAATATAGGCCTAAAATTCCCTATTTTCTGCAGCTTGACATTTTAATTTATCATAAATTTTTTATATTTTTTGGGGTTTAATTGGAACCAACATTTTCTGTCATAATAATTATTTGTGAATTTGGACAAACATTTTCTATCATAATACTTATGTTGGTCTCTCATCTTTAGTGGGTTTAGGTTCCAAAACACCCTCATAGGCAAAAATCCTAGAAGTAGCAATTATATATTTAATTTATATATATTTTAATTCTTTCATTAACCTTCCCCATACTCTTATAAACCTTTCCAACACTTATCAACATTTCCCACACTCTTATAAACAATTCCTATTCTCTTAAACACTTTCGACATTCTTTAAAAAAAAGCATATTTTGATTGCAAAAATAATTAAAATAATATTATATATAAATACCTACATACTGTAACATCCCACGATGTAGTGAAAATTCTGTGATACAAAATTACATTTATACGAGTAAAAAATGGCTGATTTTACACTAAGGATTGCGAAAAGTGAACCACTATATGGTGAAGGCTACCTGTATTCTTAAATTTCGACCAACATTTTCTGGCAAGTTATATTACATTTAAAAGTTGAACTCATGAATAATTTTGTTAAGTATCACTTCCGTGAAACCCTGCACTTTCTGTAAAGCCCCAGCATGTTGTATTTACACTTTGGGTTTGACTCAATGAATAATGAATATTAGTCCAGTCTTGGGGAATTTTTTTTACTTTTTTTTTTTTTTTTTTTTTTTTTTTTTTTTTCTTTTTTTTTTGTGTCTTTCGCGTCTCACCACTCAGGCCTTCAAAACTCCACTCAAAACACATCTTTTTAAATTATACTACCCTGAGGGATTCCCCTCCTCTGACCGATAAACGATCTTGCTGGCTGCCGTCCATGGTTTGCCTTGTAAAAGTTATGTGTTGGGGTGGGTGAATATAAATTTTTTTTTTTTTTTTTGCTGTTCTTTATTTCATAAATGTATTTTATTTTAATGTCATGATTATGTCTCTTTTGATAAAATTTTTATGTACAGTGCAGTGAGCCCAGCCCTAGGTACAGCACTATATAAAATCCCTTATTATTATTATTATTATTATTATTATTTAATTATGTAAGTTTACCACTGATCAGAAAACAAATCATTCAATCATATGAATTTTGTTGACTTGTTTTTACCATTAAGCAATTTTATGCACTGAAGACCTAATTCTTGTGTTCTCCAGCTACAAGATATGCTTTGGGAGGGTTTGACTGACACTTATGTGAAACTGCCCATGGGAATGACAGCAGAGAACCTGGCAGAGAAGTACAACATCTCCAGGGAAGAGTGTGACAAATTTGCTGTGCAGTCCCAGTCTAGGTGGAAGAAAGGTTTGCAATTTAGTTATTTTATTTATTTATTTTTTGTTACTCTATGTCCTTGACAGTCCAATGTTATGGCTGCTGTTGGACTTCTTTTAATTTGACAAAATAGTATATTCTTGTAAAGCTATAAGAAACTTCACATTTCAACCTATGTTTTTTTTTTCAAACTACATTTTTCCTATGGTGCTGCTCTGCACTCCGAATTTCTCCTATGTGAAAAAAAACCAAATAAACCTAAATGTTTTATTCTGTTGTTTGAGGATGCCAAGCAACCTGGCTCACATACAACATAACAGTCAAGGTTTAGTTCCAACTTTTTTTTTTTTTTAAAGGAAATATGAAACAATGTTACAGAAAAATGTTGAATATATTAAAATTAATTCAGAAAGTGATCTTGATGATCCTGTTTTAAGAAATCTCTGTGAATCTGTCTCTCAAAATGACATCAGTGGCAAACCGGTAACCATGGTACCAATATTCATCCAGCCTCAAATGTTACAATTGAATGGTTGATCTATACCTCATCATTTATCATTACAACTTATTTCTCTCAGGTTAATTGATAATGAAAAATAATACCACTTCATTTTTTTTTCTGTGTTTAAAAAAAAAATTATTTTCCCAAATGGCATTTGTGAGAGTTTACATAAAAAGTTCAAAAGCCATATGTGGGCTGATTCACCACTCTAAAAACTATGTGACTATTCATTAAATAATCATGTGAGAATTAATAAATAACGGTGTAAGATCTTTAATTTTGTATAAGAGATACACACTTGAAGAACCTGGATGGCATTATAACAGGGGTTGGGGAACTCTTTTTGTTACAGTCATAGTCCCCAAGTATAACTGCTTACGTCGATGTTACCTCCCTGATTTTAACGGGATTAAAAATCGATGAATATTTAAATTAAAACGGCTTCGACCGATCTATTGACAGGGAATTAGTAAACGGAATAAATTAAAGGCAATTTTTTTAAAATAAATAAAATCCTCCAAACTTTACGCATACAAGACAAGATGTGCTATCATGGTAACAGCTGAGAGCCACTTCTAACTACATGGGTGGTTTTCTCTATCTCGCTGGTCAGATGCCACGCTCACAGAATATAAATTTCTGTCATAACAAGGAACACACTTTATTTAATTTTATTATAATCCTTGAGCCCTTATTACACACCACACCACCCCCACCCAAGATTTTCATTCTTACCCCATTCGGGGTAATTTACTCCATTTTGCAGACCCCTGGCTTATAATATGTTATAATGTGAATTGATTGTATGTTTTTCAGCCAATGAAAGTGGTGTATTCAAAGATGAAATTGCACCCATCACACTGAAAGGAAAGAAAGGTAACCAATAAAGCTTTATACTACAGAACAAAATGTTAGATCTTCTGCGCCATTTATAATTAGGCTGTAACGTTATAGCCCATTTAAATTTTTCTATGCTTAAATAGTAGTTTTTAACCCCAACAAAGATTATGGAATAATTTAGCAGACTTATCTCACGCACGGTTTGTCCTAAACAGGAGATGAAGTGTTTGACGTCGACGAGCATCCAAGGGCAGCAACGCCTGAGGCCATGGCCAAGCTTCCACCTGTCTTCAAGAAAAATGGAGTCGTAAATGCTGGCAACGCTTCGGTGGGTAACTTTTTTAAAGCTCTTTTTTAATTTGGTACACACTGAGCATGCCATTAAATTGAAAATGTTTTATATGCTACACAATTGGTCTACTAGTATATGAAAGGGTTTTATATGCTACACACTGGGACACAAGTATATTGAAATGGTTTTATCTGCAACACTGTGTGTCCAAGTAAAGTATATTGAAAGGTTTTATAAGTTACACATTGGACTTGCAAGTATACTAAAAAGGGTTTATATGCTTAGGGATGATTTAGCAGAATAACTGTGATAATAATTACCTGAGTGGCTCTTGTCCACCCGCTCTCATTGGGCACTGCAGTGATGAGCATCAATTCATCGCTTCCCCCTCATCTCTCGTGTGCACCAAATACTCACAACAAAACATCTAGAGGATCAACTTTGATGTAATGAGTGATTGTCCTTTAAAGGACCTGGCATTTCTATTTGAATTGGAACTCCACATGTGGAACAGGCAGTAATTTATCCACGCCATATGGTTGCATTGCCTCAGAAAGCTTGCTATATATTTAAATAGTAGATAAGTAGGGCTGACAGAAATTCTATCCCTGATATTATCTGAGCATTAACTATAAATTATAAAGATTGATTTTTAAAATTTTTTTTTCTGTGCTAAATTTCAACACTAAATGTGATTTAAAAAAAAAAAATTTTCAACATGTTGAAAATTGTAATATTTCTCTTATAGAAATAGTGACTGCACTCACACCCCATTATCCATTATTCCTTTGAGGCTAATATTTCTCCAGCTTAAAAAACCACAGATTCTGACACAAATTTTAATCAATTTCATTATGATGAAAGTGTACAGTACATATTCATTCCTCAATTGTAATTGTAATTAAATAATTGTGTCTTATTATTTCTGTTGCAGGGTATTGTAGATGGAGCCAGTGCTTTAGTCCTGGCGAGCGAAGCAGCAGTCAAAAAGTATAACTTAACACCTCTGGCCAGGTTGGCTGCTTATGGAATAGCTGGTAAACATATTAACATCTTCAGTCTGTATCATGTAAAGAATTCTTCATTAAAGCAGATTTTGTGTATTTCTTAAAGTAATTTTTTTGATATTGGATTATTTGCACTGGATTAATTTTCAATGTTTCTTAGAGAAGAATAAATATTTGAACAAAAAAAAAAAAGATTTACGAGAACAATTCTTTTGTAAAAGGTTCTTTTATTAGGTTAAATATATTTTCATGCAATTGATGATTGAGAAGGTCAATGTAAAGATGGGGTTGGGGGNGGGGGGGGGGGGGAGGTTGTTGGTTTTGTAAACATAATTTAAAATAGTAATTTTTTCAAAGAATATTTTAAATTGGGACTTTTGAATAGTATTATTACTACTCAGGATAAAATGATGTGGAGTATTTTCTAGTCTAGTCATGGAATATTTGAAATTAATGATTTGGCTTGTGGATTTTTTGATGTACTTCCTTTGATTGCCGCTGTGTAATTTTGGAGTCGGCCATTTCTTTTAGCTCTGAGACCACCGTTAACTCGTACGTTTGTTCATTCTAAGTTTTGTATCGTGTGAGGTGCCCTTTTTTTTTTTTAAATTCTGAGGAGTCTGAGACTAAACAATTTCTTGTGGGTTTCACAACCAACTGGTTAGTTGGTTTCATGGCGGTAAAGTGGTTTTTATTACACTCATACGTTTGTTCATTCTAAGTTTTGTATCGTGTGAGGTGCCCTTTTTTTTTTTTTAAATTCTGAGGAGTCTGAGACTAAACAATTTCTTGTGGGTTTCACAACCAACTGTGTAGTTGGTTTCATGGCGGTAAAGTGGTTTTCATTACACTCAGTTGGCTTGCATTGTGGTGAAGTGGCTTTCATTGGGGTGAGGTGGCTTTCATTACACTCAGGTGTCTTTCATCATGATGAAGTGGCTTCAGTTATGATGAAATTGCTTTCATTATGCAGAAGTGGCTTTCATTACACTCAGATGTCTTTCATTATGGTGAAATGGCTTTGTGGCTTTCATTACACTCAGATGTCTTTCATTATGGTGAGGTGGCTTTCATTACACTCAGATGTCTTTCATTATGGTGAAGTGGCTTTCATTAAACTGATGTGGATTTAACTAGCTGATGTGTGCTTAATTTTGGCGATGAAGCTGCCATGATGTTGAGGAAGCTGGAGACGTGTCTTGCTAAATCAAATGTTTCTTTATTCATGCCGCTGGCGATTTGATCCACTGACCTCATGGAAGGTTGCGATCCAAAGATCATGGGCATCGGTCCCGTCCCATCGTCACAAGCTGCACTCTCTGCACTCGGAAAAACAGTAAAAGACATGGATGTAGTCGAGGCAAGTATTGGAAAGTAACGGAGGGAGTCGGTTGATGGGGTGAAAAGGGGGGGGGGGGATTCGATGTGAATCTCTCCAGATCACAAAACAGATATGAAGGGGGCCGTGGTTTTGTTGGGAATAAACAAAAAGTAAACGCTAAAAAAATTGAGTCATTAAGATGGATGATGCCCTTTCTTCGTATTCTTGTTTTTTTTTGTTTTTTATTAAATTGTTTTCAATGTCAGAGTAATTTTTTTTTAAAATTAGTTTATCCTCTTAAAACTAGGATTTTCATCTACTGTGAAAAAAAAATAGCCAGCTCTCCCCTACCCCTCCAACATCTGCTCTAAAATTGTATTTATTTATAGTTATCTGCCCCATAAATCTATGTTTAAATTCTTGGAAAAAAAATGTTATTAGGAAACAGTTGAACAGTGCTAGCTAGTGAAATTTTGCCATTAGACTGTAGCACTTGAAAATGAAAGAAGTTATAACCATCACAGCATGAGAAAAAAAATATGCCTATTCTTAGCACAACAGTGCAATTGTAAATCTGTTTATTCCTTGTATCAGGTGAATGAGGCCTTTGCCCCTCAGTTCCTGGCTGTTGCCAAAGAACTCGGCCTGGACAATGACAAGACAAACGTAAACGGAGGGGCCATCGCCCTCGGTCACCCCCTGGGCGCCACCGGGGCCAGGATCACAACCAATCTGGTTTATGAAATCAGGTAATACATTATGTCAACTATTGATATATATATCATTACTTTTACTGGCTATTAGCTTTATTCAAACTGTGTAAAGTATCGCTTATTGAATACTTTGTGAGAAAGTAATATTAATTGTCAATTATTATTCCAGTTAAATACCTTGAAAGCAATATAACTGGTTATTCTTTTTTAAAAGGCTTTGCTCTGAGCTCAATATATTCAATTATTATTCCAGTTGGATATTTTCAATTTAAAAAAAATCTCATTCTGCTTTCGTACAAATTTTGCCCTAAAAAACATAGTAAATTTGATTTCCTTGAGTTGATGTAATGCTTATTTCATGCAGCCAAATAGACTTGCCTCCAGTCACATAAAAACATGTATTATTTCATGATATTTCTGGTACACTTGTTTTTTAACATGAATCTTTCATGAATCGATCAGACCCCATATGTGGCACAATATGATCCAACTTGGTTGAGACAGCCAGTTGTTCATCGATCAGACCCCATAATACAATATGATCCAACTTGGTTAGGATGTGGCCAGTTGTTCATCGATCAGACCCCATAGCACACTTGATTCAACTTGGTTGAGACGTGGCCATTGTTCATCGATCAGACCCCATAGCACACTTGATCCAACTTGGTTGAGACACGGCCGGTTGTTCATCGATCAGACCCCATAGCACACTTGATCCAACTTGGTTGAGACGTGGCCAGTTGTTCATCGATCAGACCCAATAGACAAATAAGATCCAACTTGGTTAGGATGTGGCCAGTTGTGTGTCGATCATATACCATAGCACAATATGATCCAACTTGGTTAGGACATGGCCAGTTGGTCATCAATCAGACCCCATCGATCAGACCCCATAGCACAATTTGATCAGCCCTTGTTGAGACATGGTCAGTTTTTTTTTTCTTCTTTTTTTTTCGTTTTTTTTTTTAAATGGTGTTTTCATCTGCTTTGAATTCCAGACGCAGAAAGCTGCAGTACGCTTTGGGCAGTGCTTGCATCGGTGGAGGCCAGGGAATCACCGTCATACTGGAGCGTGTCTAGTTCTGATTTGTGTGAAATGTGATGCAGCAGTCGCTTAAATCTTGACAGCTTGAATGAACCATGTGCATATATAATATTGTATGCATGTATATCATTTGTATAACTTTATTCGTACAAATCTTACGACTAATTTGTGATTTGATGCACAACAATGGGGGTCCTCATTTTTTTTAATTTGTGGGATCTGAGGTTGTGTACATGAAGAATTGAAAATTGCAACTATGTGATGAAAGATTGTTTTGTGAATGTATAAAAAAAATTTCCCCCCCGCCCCATACCCTATTGCTCTTTTGCAAATGTGTTTGAGGTTTTTTCACCTCAGCAGTTGATAATCACTCCGCTACTGGGGACTGTTCAAGACATCAGGTAATAAAGCTGTGGAGTCTGAACAAAATTTGATATGACTTCTGCTCCAATTTCAAGGAATCAGTTATTGACTTTTAAATTCGAGCTACTTTTGAAAACTGTACCAGAAGAGAGGAGAAATTATGTCCAAAATATTTTTTGTATCTTTAATCATGACCCTTCTGTGATCAATTTTTTTTTTTTTAAGGTTTTCTACTAGTTATTTATCCTTAAGCGGCATAACAAGGCAAATTTAATTTAAATGAATTATAAACGGCTGTTTAAATGGGCTGTGTAAACTTACTGATAGTATACACTAGCGGTTCATAATCTCATGAGGTATCAAGGCTCACGCAAGACCAAGACTCTACGACTCTACTTAAAATAAAAGTGTGTATGTACAAACGTTGTGTGGGGCTCAGTGTTGAGGAACTGGGCACTCATCACAGCAGGAGCGTTTCATGTGCAAGCCGTGAAATGAATTATTCACAAACAGATTGTGATGACATGTTCAAATAAAAAGAAATGTGATTATTTTGCTATAAAGATGACTTTCAATTTATCATTTAGGTTAAAATGACCACAGAAAATTAATCAAGCACACAGGACGTACCAACAGATCCATAAGTTAATAAAGTTTCTACAATGAAAATATAAAATGAAAAAGGGGGAGCACTTAAATTAGAGGTTTTAAAAAAAAAATGGCCTAATGTCAAACTTCACAACATCTAGTGGATGGGTGCCGGTCCGTAACTCATGGGTGCCGGTCCGTAACTCATGGGTGCCGGTCCGTAACTCACTCTGTCCTGTTTGTTTGGCAGAAGCTTTTGAAAATGGTTATACAACAGGGCTCTATAATAATTAAGTTTATCGCTTGTTTTCTTGCCTAAAGATTTTGTAAGTTTTTCGCAGTCTGGGGGTTCCATTAGTAGCTGATGAATATTATTGGGGATTCTGTCAAGTGAACTTAAGGAAATAGTTCTCCTTTTTCTTTTTTTTCAACAGTGAGAGTGAACAACTTGTGAGAGTGAACAACTTGTGAGAGTGAACAACTTGTGAGAGTGAACAACTTGTGAGAGTGAACAACTTGTGAGAGTGAACAACTTGTGAGAGTGAACAACTTGTGAGAGTGAACAACTTGTAAATAAAAAAAGAAAGAAAAGTTTTAGAATTTGACTTGGAGTGCCTCAAGGAAGGCCCGGAAGCCCCCATGCCCTATAAATATTTTGAGAACCTGTAACTTAAATCAGTTTAAATTCAATGAAGAGTGAATTCACCCAGATGAGTTTAGCAAAACAACATTAAATCTGCTTAAGTTCCCAGAGCAAACATATGCAATAGGAAGACAGGCATCACTATGGTTAAACAGTTTTAATTTCAACTACAAAGCGAGTGAATGTAATTTTACAACAAAATACAATATGTAATCAATTTTGGCAGAACATTAACAAATCTTCACACTTGTACTTTGACAGAACATTAACAAATCTTCACACTTGTACTTTGACAGAACATTAAAAGATCTTCACACTTGTACTTTGACAGAACATTAACAAATCTTCACACTTGTACTTTGACAGAACATTAACAAATCTTCACACTTGTACTTTGAAAGAACATTAAAAAATCTTCACACTTGTACTTTGACAGAACATTAACAAATCTTCACACCTGTATTTTGACAGAACATTAACAAATCTTCTCACTTGTACTTTGGCAGAACATTAACAAATTTTCACACTTGTACTTTGGCAGAACATTAACAAATCTTCTCACTTGTACTTTGGCAGAACATTAACAAATTTTCACACTTGTACTTTGGCAGAACATTAACAAATCTTCACACTTGTACTTTGACAGAACATTAACAAATCTTCACACTTGTACTTTGGCAGAACATTAACAAATTTTCACACCTGTACTTTGACAGAACATTAACAAATCTTCACACTTGTACTTTGACAGAACATTAACAAATCTTCACACTTGTACTTTGCCAGAACATTAACAAATTTTCACACTTGTACTTTGACAGAACATTAACAAATCTTCACACTTGTACTTTGACAGAACATTAAAAAATCTTCACACTTGTACTTTGACAGAACATTAACAAATCTTCACACTTGTACTTTGGCAGAACATTAACAAATCTTCACACTTGTACTTTGACAGAACATTAACAAATCTTCACACTTGTACTTTGACAGAACATTAACAAATCTTCACACTTGTACTTTGACAGAACATTAACAAATCTTCTCACTTGTACTTTGGCAGAACATTAACAAATTTTCACACTTGTACTTTGGCAGAACATTAACAAATCTTCACACTTGTACTTTGACAGAACATTAACAAATCTTCACACTTGTACTTTGGCAGAACATTAACAAATTTTCACACTTGTACTTTGACAGAACATTAACAAATCTTCTCACTTGTACTTTGACAGAACATTAACAAATCTTCACACTTGTACTTTGACAGAACATTAACAAATCTTCACACTTGTACTTTGGCAGAACATTAACAAATCTTCACACTTGTACTTTGGCAGAACATTAACAAATCTTCACACTTGTACTTTGACAGAACATTAACAAATCTTCACACTTGTACTTTGGCAGAACATTAACAAATTTTTACACTTGTACTTTGACAGAACATTAACAAATCTTCACACTTGTACTTTGGCAGAACATTAACAAATTTTCACACTTGTACTTTGACAGAACATTAACAAATCTTCACACTTGTACTTTGGCAGAACATTAACAAATCTTCACACTTGTACTTTGAAAGAACATTAACAAATCTTCACACTTGTACTTTGGCAGAACATTAACAAATTTTCACACTTGTACTTTGACAGAACATTAACAAATCTTCTCACTTGTACTTTGACAGAACATTAACAAATCTTCACACTTGTACTTTGACAGAACATTAACAAATCTTCACACTTGTACTTTGACAGAACATTAACACTCTTCACACTTGTACTTTGGCAGAACATTAACAAATTTTCACACTTGTACTTTGACAGAACATTAACAAATCTTCACACTTGTACTTTGACAGAACATTTAAAAATCTTCACACTTGTACTTTGACAGTCTGCACACTTGTACTTTGACAGAACATTAACAAATCTTCACACTTGTACTTTGACAGTCTGCACACTTGTACTTTGACAGAACATTAACAAATCTTCACACTTGTACTTTGACAGTCTGCACACTTGTACTTTGACAGTCTGCACACTTGTACTTTGACAGAACATTAACAAATCTTCACACTTGTACTTTGACAGTCTGCACACTTGTACTTTGACAGTCTGCACACTTGTATTCCGTTCACGAGTTATTCCCACAATGACGGGGGTAGGGTTAGTGCCGCCCATGGCGGGACAAGCTTTTTGCGCCCACGGTCAACACTCTGCAGTTGGCCTAAAACGCCGCCTCTCATTATAAAGGGAAAATGTGCCGCCCCCGGGCGGACCGCACCCCCGTCCCCCCTTTTTTTCGCAACTGTATGCGCATAATGCATTGTGAAATAAAACACCCTTACAAGTTCAACCTACTTCGTTCTTATAAATAAACAAACACTCTGAAACACAGCGGCAGTGTTGGGTTAGCTGACAAACAGGTTATTATCCCAAGTATAACCGGACCGAACTCAGTCGGAGCATCCACGCTTTACAGCTTAAAATTAAAACATCAAAAAACCAGAATTGACGAATGCCATGACACAGCTCATAAGATATTTGATCCTTCTCAGGCAGAAAAAAAATGAAACGATATCTTAAATCAATAAATTTTTAAAGAAAGGGGGGGGTAATTATTTTGTTTAGGAAAGATCTTAGGTGGGGAGAATTCGGCCAAGCAATAAGTGGGACATGGGCCTGTCCTTCTCTTCTTCCTTCAATACCCCCCCCCCCCCTTTTTCCGTTCCTTTCGCCAAGAACTTTTTTCCCTTGGTGTGGGACAGGACGTGGGGGGGGGGGGGGTATATAAAGACATGATTACCCCCCCACCCCCACTTTTTTTAAAATGGCTGGCGCAAACTGGTACTTGAACTTGGCTGCAACTTTAAGAAAATGAGACAAGATGGCATCATCACTACATGAAGAGAAAGTTATCTTAGCAACACAACAACCAAAACAAAAACATCCTGCTAAATAAGGTGTGCAGGCCGGCCTTGGTCGCCTTCAAAGGGGGGCCGAAACACGTTATAGCTCACACAAGCCGTAGAGGTGTACGCCGTAATAAGCCGGGGAAACGACCAAAGGCATCGACCCCTCCAAGCACAAAGGTCATGTGAAGAAAAGACCTACAATCATGTTGAATGCTCCATTGGGATCACACAGGTTAGGTAGGGAGGAATGGGAAGAGGTATGTGCCACCCCAACAGTCCACCACTACTGCATTATGAAAATGTGCCACCCCAACAGTCCACCACTACTGCATTATGAAAATGTGCCACCCCAACAGTCCACCACTACTGTATTATGAAAATGTGCCACCCCAACAGTCCACCACTACTGTATTATGAAAATGTCCACCCCAACAGTCCACCACTACTGTATTATGAAAATGTCCACCCCAACAGTCCACCACTACTGTATTATGAAAATGTGCCACCCCAACAGTCCACCACTACTGCATTATGAAAATGTGCCACCCCAACAGTCCACCACTACTGTATTATGAAAATGTCCACCCCAACAGTCCACCACTACTGTATTATGAAAATGTGCCACCCCAACAGTCCACCACTACTGCATTATGAAAATGTCCACCCCAACAGTCCACCACTACTGTATTATGAAAATGTCCACCCCAACAGTCCACCACTACTGTATTATGAAAATGTGCCACCCCAACAGTCCACCACTACTGTAATTGAAAATGTGCACCCCATTAGTCCACCACTACTGCATTATGAAAATGTGCAGCCCATGAGTCCACAACTACTGCATTATGAAAATGTGCACCTCATCAGTAACCACTACTGTATATTGAAAATATGCACTCCATTAGTCCACCACTACTGCATTTTGAAATTGTGCATCCCATTAGTCCACCACTATTGCACTATGAACATGTGCACCCCATCAGTCTACCACTACTGTATTAAAAATGTGCATGCCATGAGTCCACCACTAATGTATTAAAAAAATGTGCACCCCATGAGTCCACCACTAATGTATTAAAAAAATGTGCATCCCATGAGTCCACCACTAATGTATTAAAAAAATGTGCATCCCATGAGTCCACCACTACTGCATTATGAAAATGTGCAACCCATTTAATGTCCACCACTACTGTATATTGAAAGTACGACAAAAATAGAAACACGTTAAAAAACTCAAGTGATCGCCATTGTTGTTGCCGGAAGTTGGCATTTCGTTAAGTTTTTTTAATTAGTTCCCGATTCTTGTCGTATTTTCAATGGTTATGTCTGCCGAGGAAGGCTCTTGGCCGAAACTTTCTTATCTTATTCTTCTTATTGTCCTGTCTTTCGAGCCAAGCTTCCACATACCTTGTTCTAATATTTCCTTCTCACAACTTGAACGCAGTCCATTTATTATCGGCACATAAATATGGTTGCCGGTACACTACAGCCAGGGACTTATACCCAGGCTCCAATCACATTACTCACACCAAGTTTTTTGTTTGTTTTCTTTTAAAATTAAAATTTTTAAATTGTGTTTAAAAAATGCGTGTCTCACCTAAGAACTGTTCGAGGCTGTCCTCCCGATACGGCGTGGTAACTGTCATCGATAATCGACTCACGCCAACCCGCGTCTTCTGCTCGTTGGCCAGCGCGTCCTCGACGTCGTGGAATATGCAGCTCCTGGGCAGGATCTGGAACAGCTCCGCGTTCTCCATCACGCGCATCGCGTCCTGCCCGACCCTCACCAGCAGCATTTGCACGCCGGCCTGGCGGTACAGGAGGATGACCATCTTCAGCATGTTGACGCCGTCCATGTCCATGTACGTCATTGCGGAACAGTCGATGATGATGCAGTGCACCGACTCCGTCACCAGGGCCATCTCGTCCGGGTCGTCGACGCCAAGGTGGTAGCTCAGATCCTTTGAGTTGGTCGGGTCAAAGACGTTGTTGAACATCTGCTTCTTGAAGACCTCCGCGTTGGCGAAGAAGAGCTGCGAGGGGAAGTAGAAGATCTTGATGCCCGTCGGGTTGTGGACGCCGAGCCGGTGCTCTCCCTTGAGGATGAGGTCCTCCTTGTTGGAGACGACGATCAGAGACCCCTGGATCAGCTGGTTGTTGATGATGTTGCCGAAGATGGCGATCGCCATCCCGGCGACGATCCCCCACGGCAGGTCGGCGAACACCGTCATCAGCCACGTCAGGATCCACACCACGAAATCGGACTTGCTGATCTTCCAGATCTTCTTCAGGGACAGGAACTGCAGCAGCAAGTCTTTCACCGACACGATAATCATCGCGGCCAAGTACGGGATCGGTAACGCTTCCAGCATCCCACCGGCGAAGAACATGATGAATAAGAATAGCACCGTGGGAATCCCGTTGAGCATCGTCTTCGCCCCGGTGTTGCTCAGGATCATTGTGCGGGGCGGGGAAACGCTGGTGGCCTGGGAGAAGAAAAACGAGCAACCGACGTTGCAGATGCCGTAAGCGATGAGCTCCTGGTTGCTGTCGATGTCGTAGCCATGGATTTTTGCCATCAGCATCGCCATGGAGATCGTCATGGCGAAGGAGATGGTCGTCAGGACCAAGATGTCGACGTAGATGTTCGGGAGGATGGCGAAATTGGGAATTCCTGGAGTGGGCATGCCGAACGGGACTTCCCCGACGACCGAGACGTGGAACTTCTTGTGGAAGTCGGCGAAGTGGGATATGATGGTCAGCATGATGACCAGAATGAGGTTGATGGGTAGGTCGAAGCCCAGTTTGGCTTTCAGTCTAGGGTTGATGACGATGGTGAAGAAAAGTAGCACCACCATGCTGGAGACGCTGATAATCACATCGGGGGAGTTGGTCTTGTGGATCTCCCCGGCAAGGTCCTGGTAGGTCTTGATGAGTTTCCCCACCCCAGAGTGCGACTTGACCTTGATTCTAAATATATGCTTCACCTGGAAAAAAATGGAAAAGTCAGTCATATTAGAGCAGAATCGAAGAAGAAAACAAAAGAGGCTTGGAAGAATCTATTTTTTTTTTAAAAGGGTCACTCAAGGTGGGCAATGAGCTCAGGGCTCCGAACCACAAGGGGGCATCGGACTCGGGCTTGCGGGAGTTCCGGGTATTAGTGTATGCTTTCCAGAAACAATGTTTTAATCTTGCTGTGGTTCAAACGAAAGAGCCGGACAGCTGTGTCAGCATTCGGGGCCATCATTGGGAAAAGCTGCGCAGCGAAGCCTGAAAACTGCGCACCCCACTTTTCGTCATTAGTACCGGTAATGAATGTTCTTCGAGCGTTACAGACTACAGTTTGTGCAGGTGTACAACATCGTCCAGTTAACGTGGATATCTATCAAATAGATTGGTAAATAGACACTCTAAATAGACACTCTAAATAGACACTCTAAATAGACACTCTAAATAGACACTCTAAATAGACACTCTAAATAGACACTCTAAATGGACACTCTAAATAGACACTCTAAATAGACACTCTAAATAGACACTCTAAATGGACACTCTAAATAGACACTCTAAATAGACACTCTAAATAGACACTCTAAATAGACACTCTAAATAGACACTCTAAATGGACACTCTAAATAGACACTCTAAATAGACACTTAAATAGACACTCTAAATAGACACTTAAATAGACACTCTAAATGGACACTCTAAATAGACACTCTAAATAGACACTCTAAATAGACACTCTAAATGGACACTCTAAATAGACACTTAAATAGACACTCTAAATAGACACTTAAATAGACACTCTAAATGGACACTCTAAATAGACACTCTAAATAGACACTCTAAATAGACACTCTAAATAGACACTCTAAATAGACACTCTAAATAGACACTCTAAATGGACACTCTAAATAGACACTCTAAATAGACACTCTAAATAGACACTCTAAATAGACACTCTAAATAGACACTCTAAATAGACACTCTAAATAGACACTCTAAATAGACACTCTAAATAGACACTCTAAATAGACACTCTAAATGGACACTCTAAATAGACACTCTAAATAGACACTCTAAATAGACACTCTAAATGGACACTCTAAATAGACACTCTAAATAGACACTCTAAATGGACACTCTAAATAGACACTCTTAATAGACACTCTTAATAGACACTCTAAATAGACACTCTTAATAGACACTCTAAATAGACACTCTTAATAGACACTCTAAATAGACACTCTAAATAGACACTCTAAATAGACACTCTAAATAGACACTCTAAATGGACACTCTAAATAGACACTCTAAATGGACACTCTAAATAGACACTCTAAATAGACACTCTAAATAGACACTCTAAATAGACACTCTAAATAGACACTCTAAATAGACACTCTAAATAGACACTCTAAATAGACACTCTAAATAGACACTCTAAATAGACACTCTAAATAGACACTCTAAATAGACACTCTAAATAGACACTCTAAATAGACACTCTAAATAGACACTCTAAATAGACACTCTAAATAGACACTCTAAATAGACACTCTAAATAGACACTCTAAATAGACACTCTAAATAGACACTCTAAATAGACACTCTAAATAGACACTCTAAATAGACACTCTAAATAGACACTCTAAATAGACACTCTAAATAGACACTCTAAATAGACACTCTAAATAGACACTCTAAATAGACACTCTAAATAGACACTCTAAATAGACACTCTAAATAGACACTCTAAATAGACACTCTAAATAGACACTCTAAATAGACACTCTAAATAGACACTCTAAATAGACACTCTAAATAGACACTCTAAATAGACACTCTAAATAGACACTCTAAATAGACACTCTAAATAGACACTCTAAATAGACACTCTAAATAGACACTCTAAATAGACACTCTAAATAGACACTCTAAATAGACACTCTAAATAGACACTCTAAATAGACACTCTAAATAGACACTCTAAATAGACACTCTAAATAGACACTCTAAATAGACACTCTAAATAGACACTCTAAATAGACACTCTAAATAGACACTCTAAATAGACACTCTAAATAGACACTCTAAATAGACACTCTAAATAGACACTCTAAATAGACACTCTAAATAGACACTCTAAATAGACACTCTAAATAGACACTCTAAATAGACACTCTAAATAGACACTCTAAATAGACACTCTAAATAGACACTCTAAATAGACACTCTAAATAGACACTCTAAATAGACACTCTAAATAGACACTCTAAATAGACACTCTAAATAGACACTCTAAATAGACACTCTAAATAGACACTCTAAATAGACACTCTAAATAGACACTCTAAATAGACACTCTAAATAGACACTCTAAATAGACACTCTAAATAGACACTCTAAATAGACACTCTAAATAGACACTCTAAATAGACACTCTAAATAGACACTCTAAATAGACACTCTAAATAGACACTCTAAATAGACACTCTAAATAGACACTCTAAATAGACACTCTAAATAGACACTCTAAATAGACACTCTAAATAGACACTCTAAATAGACACTCTAAATAGACACTCTAAATAGACACTCTAAATAGACACTCTAAATAGACACTCTAAATAGACACTCTAAATAGACACTCTAAATAGACACTCTAAATAGACACTCTAAATAGACACTCTAAATAGACACTCTAAATAGACACTCTAAATAGACACTCTAAATAGACACTCTAAATAGACACTCTAAATAGACACTCTAAATAGACACTCTAAATAGACACTCTAAATAGACACTCTAAATGGACACTCTAAATGGACACTCTAAATGGACACTCTAAATAGACACTCTAAATAGACACTCTAAATAGACACTCTAAATAGACACTCTAAATGGACACTCTAAATGGACACTCTAAATGGACACTCTAAATGGACACTCTAAATGGACACTCTAAATGGACACTCTAAATGGACACTCTAAATGGACACTCTAAATGGACACTCTAAATGGACACTCTAAATGGACACTCTAAATGGACACTCTAAATGGACACTCTAAATGGACACTCTAAATGGACACTCTAAATGGACACTCTAAATGGACACTCTAAATGGACACTCTAAATAGACACTCTAAATAGACACTCTAAATAGACACTCTAAATAGACACTCTAAATAGACACTCTAAATAGACACTCTAAATAGACACTCTAAATAGACACTCTAAATAGACACTCTAAATAGACACTCTAAATAGACACTCTAAATAGACACTCTAAATAGACACTCTAAATAGACACTCTAAATAGACACTCTAAATAGACACTCTAAATAGACACTCTAAATAGACACTCTAAATAGACACTCTAAATAGACACTCTAAATAGACACTCTAAATAGACACTCTAAATAGACACTCTAAATAGACACTCTAAATAGACACTCTAAATAGACACTCTAAATAGACACTCTAAATAGACACTCTAAATAGACACTCTAAATAGACACTCTAAATAGACACTCTAAATAGACACTCTAAATAGACACTCTAAATAGACACTCTAAATAGACACTCTAAATAGACACTCTAAATAGACACTCTAAATAGACACTCTAAATAGACACTCTAAATAGACACTCTAAATAGACACTCTAAATAGACACTCTAAATAGACACTCTAAATAGACACTCTAAATAGACACTCTAAATAGACACTCTAAATAGACACTCTAAATAGACACTCTAAATAGACACTCTAAATAGACACTCTAAATAGACACTCTAAATAGACACTCTAAATAGACACTCTAAATAGACACTCTAAATAGACACTCTAAATAGACACTCTAAATAGACACTCTAAATAGACACTCTAAATAGACACTCTAAATAGACACCTTGAAATTAAGCGGGGTGTCAAAATCTCAGGTCTGTAGAAATGTTAACACTCGCACTCATAAAGTTAACAAAAATAGATTGAAATAGAGTAACCGGTTGTGTTATTATTTTGAATTGAATGAAGGACCAGGTGGACACGCAGCTACGAGTTCAACAGGCTGGCTTCCATCGAAACAGATCATACACAGATCAAATTGCAACACTACGGATCATTGTAGATCAGTCCATTGAAGGGAACTCCCTCTATACCTAAATTTTATTTACTACGAAAAGTCCTTTGATAATCTGGCCCAAAAAACCTTGTGGAAACTTCTCCGGCATTATGGGATACCAGGAAAACTAGTCAGAGTCAGGACTGGTGCATGCAAGGTGGTACATGAAGGTAGACTCACATATGACATGTAGGGTGGTACATGAAGGTAGACTCACATATGACATGTAGGGTGGTAAATGAAGGTAGACTTACATATGACATGCAGGGTGGTACATGAAGGTAGACTCACATATGACATGCAGGGTGGTACATGAAGGTAGACTCACATATGACATGCAGGGTGGTACATGAAGGTAGACTCACATATGACATGCAGGGTGGTACATGAAGGTAGACTCACATATGACATGCAGGGTGGTACATGAAGGTAGACTCACATATGACATGCAGGGTGGTACATGAAGGTAGACTCACATATGACATGCAGGGTGGTACATGAAGGTAGACTCACAGATGACATGCAAGACGGTACACGAAGGTAGACTCACAGATGACATGTAGGGTGGTACATGAAGGTAGACTCACAATAACATGCAGGGTGGTATACGAAGGTAGACTCACAGATGACATGCAAGACGGTACACGAAGGTAGACTCACATATGACATGCAAGACGGTACACGAAGGTAGACTCACAGATGACATATAGGGTGGTATACGAAGGTAGAATCACAGATGAAATGTAGGGTGGTACATGAAGATCGACACACAGATGACATGTAGGTTTGTACATGAAGGTAGACTCACAGATGACATGCAGGGTGGTATACGAAGGTAGACTCACAGATGACATGTGGGGTGG